CTGGATGGCATTAATATTAGCATGAAAGCATATTTCTATTCATTAGGTGGGACATGCTGTTAGTGAGTCTGTTAAAAGTGTTTTTCCTCAACCTGTTTGTGATGTTTACCATTTCTTTCCCCTCAGTTTGTAATCAATCTGTTGTAAAGTATTCCCATTGTTTAAAACCTCATTAGGATTTCATCAGAGACACACAGCTATTCTTTCTTTATGTATGACTAATATCTGATTATCGTTGGATTATCTGCTCTGCCATGGTAAGAAAAAATGATGGCAACTAATAAAATGTCACTGTTCCAAAATATTCCAATGGGAGAATCAACAGCTGTCTGTAATGAGTTTCAGCCCACTCATCCATATGTCCTCTGACAACAAGCTGTTTACATCACATTCCAATTATTACATTTAGATTAGATTTACACTCTCTTCACATTGGATTTTATTTGCTTTCTGATGGAGGCTAGCTGCCCCACAGTTTCAAAACCCCAGTTCTAGGGATCATTCACATTAGCGTTGTTTAATCTACTTTAATCAAACAATATATCGTTTGCCTAGAATGTCCGATTGGTTTGGGGAGATGTGAATGCACAATCAAGACCTGATGTGGAAAACGTCAAGTAGGGTCCGTCTACAAACCCAGGTCTCACGGTTGAAATGAAATCTGTTTGAACGTCAACCAGACTGGAAACCACTCCGAACGCAGGAAATGAACTATAGAGCAAGGGATTCTGGGTGAATATAACCAAAACAAGCATGCAAGTCTTGCTTCTTTTGCCAAAGAAAAAAATGCTAAAATCTGACACCACTTCAGTTTTTTACATTTCATAAAGAAGGAAGTTGTGCTCTGTTTTCTTTAGAGTTCTTTGTGTTGCTTCCTTCAGTGGTCTAAGGTGCAGCGCCTCCACAGGGGAGGAGGTGAACAGGTTTTGTTTGATTCAGTGCAGTGTGAAAGCTAAGTACACCAGCTGAAAATGTGATAAATGTTGCAATTTTGGTGCCCAATTTAATCGAGTCTACCAAACTATCAGGCATGAAATCATCCTTATTGCATATCGGGGGAGGAAGTAAGAATAAAGAAACATTTTGGACATTTGTGTCCTGTTGGATTCAGAGAAAGAAAACGGCGCAATTTACACCAAATGAGATGTGAACCGAACTTCACCCACTGACAGCTCTGTGTCTGTGATGAATAATAGTTGTGGAGCTATTGATTCTTTGTGTTTCATTATGTTTTTTGTGCCAAACACACAGACAGGGCTCAGAAAGCACACTCATTCACACAACATTTCATCTGTCCCATCACTGCATCTCTTCTGAAGCTCTTTTATCTTCTACATCTGACAGGTGAAATATCAGTAAGAGTGATCCGTTGCAGTCTTGGCATGCAGGTCAGTTTATTTTTGCAAAATAAGATGCATCATTTTTTCCTCTTTAACTTTTAGCATGCGGTTCATCCATGTTACTTTCTAGCATGCAGCTCCGAATGTTTACTTAATGTTAGCAAACACAGTGACTTGTTTGTAAAACCAAAACAATATGTTTATATTGCTTGTTATTATTTTAGTCAGTCTGAAGGTAAGTTATTTTTTTAGAGTCAGGCTTGAAGCAGGTTCATGTTTCTGTCTACAATACATTGTTTTTGTAGTTATTTTCAGTTTAAATATTTTTTTTGTAAGTTGTTCAGTTATTGTAATTTGGGACTCTTCATTCTTCATAAGAAATGTGATTTAGAGGGAATTTTGCAAGGAAATGTCTTGATAAAAATGTAAATGTATCCTTATTGTAAAGTAATGCAGTTCTGACTCAAAGTGATTCTTTGGTAAGTTGAATTTGAATGAGATGCAACAACATTTCCTTTTGGGATCAATAAAGTATTTATCAATTGAATTGATTTTGAATTATAGGGTGGGTTTTATGTTTACAGCCAGTTTCCAGTCTCATCCTGTTATTTCCGCCTCAGAAAACTATTTCTTGTGTATTTTGTTAGCTTTCTCCACAACACACCAATCTGATTTTGTTCCACTATGGGCAGTAAAGAAAATGCCGAAATAGGTTATCTGCGGCATCTCTTGGATTATGGAGCTCATAAAGCGATTCCTTCCTGAGAGCAAGCCATGATTCTCAGTTAGCTGTCTGCCAGGTCTTCCCCTGCACTCCTGACCGCTAAAACGAGAGCAAGTAGATTGAATTATCCAAGCAATTCATCTGCAGAGCGGAGGAAGAGGTTAGCACTAATTTAGCAGAGTGTGCAGGCCATACAATGAAAAATAGGACTAAAGTAATGGTTCAATTTGTTCTGTGTCAACTAACTGTATAAGAGAGGTAGCCGAAGGGGCTAAAGTGGAAGGGAAGCATCCCGAAAATGAAAAGAAGAGATTGAGTGAGAGGAAGACAGGACGAGTCATCGGCTCTCTGGAGACAGGGAAGACACAGATGTGCTCCGTATCAATAATGGAACAAGAAAGGGGAGGAAGACAGAGACAGGAAGACATCAGCAGAGAAAGAGGTCGAGAGAAATCACAACAGGTGGATGAAAAAGGGAGACAGTGATGGAGGAGCTGGTTAACAGACAAAATGTCAGCGAATCATTGCTGCTGTCTTTCTTTTCTGGCTCCTGTGCATTAACGGCTGGTGCTAAATATCAAGAAATGGCAACAGAGGCAGCACAAATAGAGCCCAGTGTTTGGTATAAAAACGCCAATAAGTAAGGTTGGTCTAAAAATATTTCCGCCGCAATATTTAGTAACTGTTCATGGGAATCTGTCTTCATTTCATTGAAAAAACTTTTTACATACTGCAGCTAAATATTTTTATGCAACACCTTAAAAAAACAAAATGCTGCCGGATGATTTTCAATTTCTATTGATATTAAATTGACCTCTAATACCAATATTTATATACATGCTTATGTTTTGGTTTAGAGTCGAGAATAACGAAGTAAATCTAATGAAGCAAAGTACAAATTTATTTATTTTTTTTCCTAGTGCTTTTAACTCATTTTTGTTCTTCAGAATGATTTTCATGGAGGAAATCTCCAAGCATGCAGAGCAAATAAGAATTTGTAGCAGGTCCGTTCTCTGAAACGCCTTCACAGTTTCTTCCAGGAATTCATTATCGCTCCATTTAATTTAAAAAGAAAACGAGAATTTAGTTTGGCAGACTGAGAGGTGATGTACAACTCCCTGTGGGAAAAAATGATTTGATTTTCTAAAATAGTCTGCCTGGAAATTATTTTTCTGCTATAGTGTCTAACTCCTGTTCCTGAGTACAAAGCAATATTGAAATATCCTGGTCCTTAAGGGGTTGGTGAATGTTTGTATTTATTTCATAACAACAGTGCATAAAGCCTGACTTGCTGCCTGAATAAATGTTTTACAGTGTAGATGACTTTACTTTACTTGCCAGGTGCTTTTAGATGAAGCAGAGCTGAAGACAATCAGATTTATTCAGATTTTAGAGACCGACATGATCATTTTATTTTCAGCTATTTTTTGCAGGTAATCAAAAAAAATTGACTGATAATGATCCAAAGCAATACTTCTAAAATGTTACTTTCCTTTTGGGATACCAGAAAAACTCTGTATGTCACAGTTTGTTGTGAACAGATGTGATAAAGTGCTTCATGTTTTCCACTGATACGTACACAGTCACTACATGATCCAGAGTGTGCAGTTCACACTGAAATTGATGGTAATTTGCCACACCAGGTGGAGAATGGAGAGTGACGTATGTGCAGCCAATCAGTGTGTCATGTACACCTCATTACTGACTGTGTGTGTGTTTCCCATATCGACAAGAACAAGTTGACTGAAGGTGCGTTTGCTAATTCTTTGCTCCAGTGGCTCTCGAATCCTTTAATTATTTTCTTCCCCTTATTTGCTGCTGTAACACTTCACTGCTCTCGTTCTGTGACAATCTTTTATGCGACACCTCTCAAATAATCTGTGATGGCAAGCAAAAATGTGAAACAAAAAAACAGATTTCATTTGTAAGCCCAATTTCTTCAGTGCAAACTGAAAATATGCAGGTCAATAACCAAATTAGGGCAATTTAAAGGGACTAAATAACCTCCAACAAGCCAGAAAGAACCATCCTAAAGCATCCTGTACGTTAGCAAACACTGAAAAAAATTCTGATCTTTTTGTACTTATCCTGCCTGTCAAGATTAGTGGAGTTCCAATTGAAAACTCCCACAACTTTGTGCAGCTATTGTAAATACTTGCCAGACTTTTGTGTTCAAAACAATTAATTGGTTTTTAACAAGTAAACAACTCAGGCAATCAAACAGCAGCAACTTGGTGAATTTAGACACAATGAAGACACAATGAACTTACATTTCATCCACCAGAATAATGAAGAAGGTGGATTTAAATGGCCACTTATTTCTCAGAAACTACTGGCAAACATCTGAGTTTCACTGGGACTGGTCTGTGTTTGTGAAGAAACAAAAATAGATGGAGGTTCCACATGTTTATAATGTGTGAAACCTTTTAAAAATACAACAACAAACAAACAAAAATAAGATTTTCCTGCTTTCTGTCAAAAAGAACAAGACACAGTCTCATTTATGGAACTGAGCTTGTCGTTTTTCTGCAACTTCAACTCAAATCAGTCCTAAAGGCTTTAGAAGAAAGATCTCGGTTGAACTTTGGCTGAATTGTGAATATTATATGCCTCTAATTTATCTTTAATTTTTCACATATATTTCAATAAATTCTTCTTTCTGTAAACAATACAATCACTTCGTTCATGTTTCCATCGATGCAAAGTAATGTTTTCTCTCGGTCTTATCCACTGCTGCCATGTGCCTTCTTCTTAGTAGGCCTGGTCATCGCTATGGTTACCCACCAAACCGGGTCAGCGCTTCAGAAATGAGATAAATGTGAAAAAACAACAAATGACAGTAGATATGTTTGAGCACCTGTGTTTTCCCCTCATTTCCTGGCCGCCCGCTGCCTTTGGGCTGATTGCTGTGCGTTTCTTGTCTGTGTGTGTAACAGGAAGGAGACTCTCTTGGGGCGATGGAGAAGGTTTGTCGTCAGCTGACGTACCATCTCAGCCCCCACTCCCAGTGGAGGAGACACGGACTGCTCAAGAGGAAGCCTCAGGCCTGGTGAGTTGGTGTGTGTGTGTGTGTGTTGAGGGATATGAGGTGTCCTCATGAAGTGCCATGTGTCTCTATTTTGGCTAGCATCTCAGTATGTCAGCAGTGTGTCATCATCTGCTGCCCCTTTGGATGCCATGGAAAAATCTGCTCACGTCTCTTTGTTTCCTCTCGGTCATACACTCAGTTGGAGTTTAAATCAGTCCTCCTTTCTGAGTCTTATTCTTTTTTAAATTATGCAACTTCCTTCTCTCAGGATGCTACACTGAAGGGGGTTTAATTAGTGCTTTTTTTTTTTTTTTGTCTAGGTTTGCCATAAACCAAGTTTTAGCTGTGAGGCACAGCTGTGATTACTGTTCACTTTGCATTTTGGCAGCCAGCGCCTTGTCTTCACACCTGCATTATGCAGAGAACGCTCATTTTCAAAGGCTGCAGCCGAAGGAGGGCAGCTATCCTGACTGAATTTTAATCTATACACAGCTGGGACGCACAACATGCAAATAAGATATCAAGAGCAACAAACTAATCCTCCTGCTTCTCCAGCTCAGCTCTGCACGAGGTGGAGGTTTATTTAAAGACTCAGAGCTGTGCTGAACATTAAATATTATTCAGTGCTGAGCAAATACTCTCACGCTCAGAACAATGTTTCTTCTCAGTCTTGGCTCTGATGCCATATTTTCCCAAATCCATTTGTAACAGATTTCAGATTGAAAACAGTCTTCTTGAGCCTGTTTCATAAAATCCTCTCAGGTGTGCTCTGAGTGCCCATCTGAAGAGCAGCTCAGACTTGACATTATATAACTGCTAGTGTTGTTAAATTTTTCTTATTATATAAACTTTATTGGGCAGACAAGACACGACAGTTCACGAGATCACTGGAGCAAAACCCCCGGTGACTGAATATCTAAATACCTGATACTCTCACGAAGCATAACTATAACTACCTCCACAAAATGTTCCTTAAAGAGTATCTAATCCCTGAATTAACTGTTTGTTTGTTTGTTTGTTTTTTCCTGATAAGCAGTTTGAATAGGTGATTTAGGGTTCTCTCCTTAGTATATTTCTACAATATTTTGTCTAAAAACGTCTCAGTACCGGCCTCCTTAGGTCCAATAGTCCTGCTGCAGAGGTGCAGGTGACCAATATAGCTAATAGCAATCTACATAAAATATTTCTGAAAAAAAGATTGATAAAAGCATTGAGCTAACCTTTCTTCCATCAATATATTTTGGTGGAAATGGTAACATTTTTAAAAACGCTCTCAATTTTGCAAAAATGTTTTTAGGCTTGCAAGAGGAGGTTTTTGACTTTCACAATAAAGAGTTAATGCATCCAGGCCCCTCCACCTTCTTCAAACAGCAGCACAAACAAGACATTTTGCTGCACAAACATTTGACACCAATTTTGCCTGATTTGAAGAAGGTGGGGATGGGAGCTGGTTGACCTTTCATGACCTCTGGAAAAATTTCTTAATATTTTTAAAATGAAAGCGGCACAAATGCAAATTTTTGCTGCACAAACCAGCACCAATTTTGTCTGATTTGAAGGGGGGAGGGCGAACTTCACCCACGTGATGGAAACACGATTAATTCACGTTTTGTTTATTGTAACATTTTAAAAGTTTGCTCAAAATTCCCTTGGATGGAAACATGGCTGTTAACTCTAGTGAGTTTAGCCTTTAAGCCTGAAACGGGGCCATGCATTGGATAGAGCGATTTCATACTCGGTGTCGAATTGTCCCTGTGTGCTGCAGCACGGTCTAAATCCAGCTCCGAAACACAGAGGCTGGCCATGAAATATGTCCTGCTGGGAGCAGACGGTAGAGAAAAAACTTTGTAGCGAGACGCTTGGAGAGCGAATTCCCACCGCAGTGAGAAAGCAGGATCAATCGGAAATAAAAATGTCTCCTCCTCCTGCTTTGAACATAAACAACAGGTGTCACCTCCTCTCTAAAGGCGTTTGCACCCCGATGCTGGAGTGTTGAAGCAGAGAAATAACAATTCAGCGCCGGGCGTAAGACAGGACCCCTGCTGTGTGTGTTTTAGAGTGTGTGTCAGTGCCTTCACAGTCAATGCAAGTGAGCTCCTGGTGTTAAAGCGATGACTCACAGTTTGTTGGAATAAAATGAGACCAAAAATGAGTGAAGTGGTTCGGCTCCGGTGGAAAGGATTTAATCAATGCAACGTTGCCATCGTCACTTGAGGCTGACAGGAAGTCCAGCCAGACTGATTAACCAGAGGAAAGACGAACCCCATTTACTCTGAGACTCGCAGGGAGATATTATACTGGCTCATCTGTTGGAACGGAGCACAAGCACTAGTAGCACCTTCCTCTCCTGCAAAACAAACATTTCCTGACTAATTGCATCCCAGAGTCACTTAAAGTGATGAGAAATGCTTCCATCCACTTTGGGTGCAGGGCTCCAATTTACTGGATTTAGTCATGCATTTTAAAATCCGTATGAATCTCATTTCTCACCCAGTTATCATTCCAGCAGCAGCTTGCCTGCATATATGTTGCTCGTGAGTGTTTCCTGTGTGAATCACATTTCTGTTTTCATTGGGATGCATCTGAACGTTTACCTGAGTCAACAAACACAGGTCGGCTAAAAGAGGCATTTGTTTTGGTTGTTGGCAAAGTCATTGAAAAAAAAGCGGAAGACAGCAGAAGGTTCACATCAAGATTAAGGAGAACAAACAGATTACTGTATCAGGATGAAGAGTCAAAGCAAGGACTGAGATAAACTAACAAAATAAGTATGTTTTTTTTTTTACCTTGTATAATGTCCTAGTCAAGGTAAAATGTACAGAAAAAGACATGTCTTCTCCAGGTTTTCTGAAGCAACTATGGAATCTCTTGCAAACTTGTGGTAATCTCTTCTGAACATGAAATCCACTGGGCATCAGCCTGTCAAATTCAGACGCCACAAGTCAGCTTGTGTGAGAGCACAGATAAAAAAAAATACATAAACAAGAAAAGGAAATGACTAAACCGCAAGGAGGGCCGAGATATTTTTATCTGGGGAAAAAATAAGTCCTGGTGATCCTCCACTGGAATCAAACAGAAGATTTACTTGCTTCTGTGAGGTAAAGATATTTTAAAAATAAACAGCTTTAAAACCAGAAGTCTTAAGTCAGACTTTGAATGATATTCCTGCCACATAACAATATATGAATATCTGAGTGAAACTGGAAATATAAGTATTATTTTTTATCAAATATTTTTCAAAATTATACTTTAAAAGTATTTTTATTAAATTATATTGCATATGTATTATTATATAATGGAAACAACTGCTGTGTCTCATTAAACAATGACATTCGATTGGTCATCCTGCACAGCAGCTAACAATTTAAAATCACCAGCTGCAGATCTATCACCATTGACTTATTTGTTGCTGGTGATTTTGAATAGTAAGGCAGAGATAAAATAAATTAATGCTGTTCTGCAGCACGGTACTGTGAAATAGAATGCATTAAGGGTGAAATGATTAATCGTGATTAATCGATTAAACAGTGGTCAACTAATTTAGTAATTGATTAATCATGAACTGGAGCATACAGACTTAAGAAAGGGCATTTGCTGAAAGACAACATATTCATATATATATTTATTAAGGTGAAAATCTGGAAATCCGTTCTACATAGAACTTCTCCAGAAAATAATCAGCAGACCAGCTATAACATCACATCTTGATGTTAGAAATATTTGTTCAGCTACTGATGCATAATGTACTACAATTACACAAAACAAATTCTGTTTATTTTCTTATTTAAAAATAATAATAATTTGTTGTTAATTTGCATCTTTTAATACATTTCTAACACGCTAAAAGGATTAAGTGGTTAAATAAAAATCTGCAGAGTGTGCCAATGTTGTTACCCTCTTAATCGTCAGAGTAATCAACAAATTAATGAATTACTAAAATAACTGTTAGTTGCGGGTCTAATTCTTATATAAAACATAAAAGTCATAGACTTGCACTTTTGACTTCACATCTCCATTGTAAGTGTAAAAGAGGAATTAAAATGGATTCCATGTGTCAACAGTAGCATAAAGCACCTGCAGGGCTGCACAAGTTCACATTGTCTGCAGTGAACTCATCAGCGGCAGCTGCAGCTCTGTGGTGACCGAATGCCAAGAAGCTTCATTCCCTTCAATGTTCTCTAACTGAATAAACAGCGTGTAAACAGAGTCTGCCTGCTGACCGTTTGGCCTGGACCAGAGTCTGTCTCGGTGTGTCCCTCCTGGGTCTTGCAGCTCTGTGTCTCTTTTTCCAAGTAGCTCGTTTAGCTTTCATGATGTTGCCAAATAATGAGGTCTCTCTAAGGTTTTGTCCGACTATAACATTGTTTGCCATGGAAACCACTTGTACATGAGCACACAGAGCGCTGTTTACGTCAGATAGTCCCACACCTTGCTCCTTGCTCTCTTCCTCTCTCTCCTCTTGGATCTTTTGGCTGTCTGGCTCCCGCCCACCGACTTGCTGGCTGTCGCTGCTTCGCCGATCAGATTTCTGGTTGCTCTCCCGCCTGAGTTCTGACTGCCAGCAGAGGGAGAAGTTAAATGTTGACTCAGCCTGTCTGGGTCTTTCCTACTTTTTCTGTGTGTCCTTATCAGACAGAACCAGTCTGGGAGGATATTGGATCTTTGTTTACCATTGAAGATTTTCCCCACACAGTAGAAATGGAGGCCTGAAAAGTAAACAAGAGGTTAATTAATGCTTTTGTTTCATCTAAAGCATCAATTAAATAATATATTGCAACATTGAACATAAATATATCAGTTTTTTAGAGTACAATCAAAAAACCTTGCAGCATCTCTGGTTTGGCAGAGAGCGGTGTCAGACAGAATTATTGGAAATGCATCATTGCCGGTTTCTAACCCATTTTCCCGCCTGCAGGAGACCATCGATTTGCTGTGTCGTATCCTTTCACACTCCAGCTCTGCTCGCTTTGTTCCAGCCGTGGTTCAAAGCTTGCCAGGCCAGCGGACGCTTTGAAAATGTC